AAATAATTTTCTCTCAAATCTCTTTCTCTCTAACCTAGCCTCCACCCACAACTAATGAATATATATATATAAAAAAGGTGGAATCTAGGGTTTAAGGTTTAGGGTTTTTAGGAAACTCCTCAATGGGCTTGGGCTTAGCATTGAAGAAGGAAGCCCAACAATTTCTGGGGCCAATAATGCTAAGGTGGTGCTACTAGTGCGAGGAGGACGTCTAATTGACAGCCCAAAATTTCAAATTATACTAATTGATTATTTGATTGAAGATCTGATTGATGTTTAAAAAGGAAACTTTCCATTGCTTAAAGGAAGATTTGGAATTTTGAATCTAATTCAAGAAAGTTTAATCGTGAAGATATGGCAGAGGATTTGATAGGATTTTAAAAGAGATAATTTCCCTCAATAAAAAAAGAACTTTTAGAAACATTGGGACATTCTTGGGGCAGGATATACTTACCCGGTGATTAAGATAGATTGACGAAAATCAACGGTGATTAAATTAGTTGTAAAGGTGGTAAACTTTTTTGGTGGTAAGTATATCCTTCCCCTTCATTCTTTTACGCAAAAAGAAAGGTGGCAGAGATCAAACAATTGAGAGTTTTGAAGATCAAGAACGAAGGTGGAGGGAGATCGAAGCGTCGTCGTGGAGATCAACCAACAATCACTCAGTCACTTCTTTTATTTCCTTTTATTTTAATTTTTTGTTTAAGCCAGATATGTCTGACTAGTTTTATTTGTAGTTAGAGATATGGATCCAAAGTGAGTCTTTATGTTTGGATTTACTTTATTTTCAATACTATATGTCTTAAATTATTTGTGTTTATCTTGAATTGCTTGTTTAAATTCTTGTATTATGTGGCCAACCATATAGGAATAAAGAGGATTAGGGTTCGCAATAGATATATTGAGATCTTAATCAAGACAGGGATAAACATCGATTCTTTCTTGATCTAGACATAGACTAGTAGGAATTGCAAACTTTTGTAACTCATCACACGTAAGGCTTAATCTGAAAGGAGTTTCTAAGACATTAGGATTCCAATTAGATTAAATGGTCGAAGAACTAAGATATTAGGATTTAGCCAACAAATTCTTAGATGATAAATTGTTTGAAACAATAAAGATATAGAGTTATTGAATTGAGTTAAATCACTTAAGGGGGATCAGAGGTAAAGTAAACATTAACTATGTTTTCCATACTTGATTTTAAATCCATCTTTAAATATTAGAATATTGCATTTAATTGTTGTTTGGCATTTGTTCTTTTAATTGCTTTGTTTAAAGTTGACTTTGTATTTAATTAATTTTTTTCCTTTTCAAACTAAATTTGATTTGTCCAACTTAAGTAAAAATAGTGAACCAATGCTTGAAAGTTGAAATACTAATTTTCGTGAAAACGATATTCTACTCACTTTTTTATTACTTGTACGACCAGTATACTTGTCGTGATCGCACCAATATCTTCATCAATTTAATTATCATTGAGTTTGAAATAGTTTTTGAATGTCATGTAATCTGTTATAATATAGTGAATCTAGATTTATGAAAAATGAGATAATTAAATTGTTTACGTTATATTAACTAAAATGATTAAAATTATATTTGAAAACAGAGCGGTTATACTTATTACTAAAAAGTTTTACAACTTTTACTACTAAATTAATCACGGTTAATTTCTGTCAATCTAATTGTGATAATTTTTTGGATATATTAATTAATTAATTATTAATTCTCAATAAATTATAATCGTTAAATTAACGGAAATCAACGATGATTAGTTTAGTAGTAAGAGATGTAAATTTTTTCAGAAATAAGTATAACATCTCCCATTTAAAAATAAGATGCTCCAACCATTCCTTTTAAGAAGAAGCACAGTCATCTTGTTATTTCTATAATTTATAAATAAATCACGCATACGATCATTATTCTGATGAGTCATTCAATAATATCTAAGCCTCACTTTAATTTTTTTTTTTGGAATATATTGGTGACACTGAAGTTTGAACTTATAATCTCATATAAATTATCCAAATCCTTCACGTCTAGATCAATTCCAGTCACTTTTTTATTTTAGCGCTTAAACTTTGTAAAATTTCTTCGCAAATTTATATATTATCAAAAAAATTCCTTTCAGCATGATAAGAACTTAATTCAGCCCATTTTTTACTTATTGCCCGAGCTAAAAGAATAAAAAAAGCTATTTGTGCCTTTTCCAATTTAGAAATGTTCCGACCAGCCATTTAGTTTGGCCCAATATGATGAACCCATCACATAAAGGCTCTAATGGACATCCCCAAAGGAGGCAGATAAAGCCTTTTAGGGGATGTCATCTCCCACCCCATGCACAAGCAATCATTACACACTGACAATAAATATGATGTGTTTTGCTTAAGGAAGACCTATTTAGCACCGATATCAATACGGAACATGAGATATGATATGACACGCCAATTTGACATGTTAATTTTAAAAAATATTATATTTTGACACGTTTTGATATTAAATATTATTTTTAATTTATGTAATGTATATTATATTTAATACTTAATAATTTAACCAAAAAATAAAGTTAAACTTATAATACCCATCAATTTTGCAAAGAAACATAAGATGTCTCAAATATTTATATTAAACTCAATAAAATGATAATCATAATCCAACGAATCTAATAATTGAAACTAAAAACACAACGCAACACAACATTTGAATCTTTTTTTGAGTCTCTATAACACATGTTTGAGTGTCGAATACGATATGTCAGAATTTTTAAAATATCAGTGCTTCGTAGAACAAGACGATGCTATGGTGCTTCTCTTGTCTCATCTTTCCTTACCCTCCCACTTCACAAAAAAGGTCAAACTCCATATATTAATACCTCTTATCTTTCATGAGGATACCACCACTATTCTATTATTTATATGAGCTGTTACTTTGCTCAATCGTAGAACTGTCATAACTACTAAACACACATCCACTGTTATCTCAGAGTATCTAAGAAACTCTATAAGGGCCTAGGTTTATATCATTACCACTAAGGGGGTGTTTGGTACAGGAGAAATTCTTTTTTCTCCGGGAATCACGATTTTCAGAAGAATAATGAGAAAATGAGTTTTCTGGGAATGTTACCAAAAAGTTGTTTGGTAGACTAACATATTCCCGGGAATATTGGGTTAATTTTGTTGATGCTGTGTTTAGTTGTATTAAATTTTTTCCTGCCATAGAAATCTTCAAATACCACCTTTTGGATGGCATTCCTGGATAGTTTTTTCAAAAAAATTTACACACAAAACAAAATCCCGAAAAAATCAGATTCCCGGAAAAATTTTAAAAACTCTGTACCAAACGATGCATTCTTATTTACCCAACCAAGAAATCTCGGAAAAACAAAAAAAATACTCCTACCAAACGGGCCTAAGAGTATCCCTAAATAGACATACTCATAGCATTTCGGTTTTTTTGTCTCATATATTAGTTTAATAATTAAATACATGTCTATTGTTTTGAAAATGGAATATTCTTTGCATATTATGTACTGGAAAGATCGTGAAGAGCATAAACCACGGATAGACTACAAGACGTAAACTAATGTGCATGCCCATTAGGCTGTAACGTTCCTGTAGTCGAATCTTATCACCAGCTCTGCATCCATTTCGACCTTTCGTCTCTTTTTAAAAAAGCTAAATAGATCAATAACTTCAATGTGAAAATCCAAATTGCTTTTCTTTTTCGGTAAACTATCTTTGGTTACTTTTTCGGTAAGAAATCCTCAATTGTTAATTAGTAACGCCTTCACCGCCATCTTCATTTTAATAAAAAATTCTTAAATTCTTAAATCATACTATTATTACATATATTTTTACAGATTAACTTCTTCTACAATTCAAAAATATAAGACTGAATTTTTTTTAAAATACTTTAGTTTTTTTTTTCTAAACCCTAAAACCATTTCATTATGAGATTACAGGAAATTATTTTATTTTTACAGGAGAAACACTTTTGTCATATTTTTATTAGAAAAACTTTTTTTCTGATACTTTATTTTCTTTTTTTGTTATTTTCTTTATAAGTTTCTCCTTTTTAAAAAAGCTAAACACGACTAAAAAAAAAAAAAGCTAAACACATCAAGAACTAATTTCAAGGTGAAAGTTCCAATTATTATTTTATTTTTTGGTAAAAAAATCTTCAATTGTTGCTTTGGAAATTGGTGCCACAGCCTATCCCTAGAGGGCTAGACCGCGTAAGATAATTACAAAAAAAGGAAATTCATTTATTTGTTAGATAAATTAGTAAAAATCAATTAGTGCTAAATATGATAAAAAAACACTTATTAAGGTATTGCAATTCATTTAATTAATTTTTCGATCGACATTAGAGTTAAGGATTAAGCTATCGAATAATATTATTATCATATTTTAATGGTTGGTTTCGGTGAATCAAAAATTATTATTTTTACAAATCAAATTACTTAATTATTAATTCACAATATTCTAATTATTAATTTATAATATTACTATCATATTTTAATCACATAATATTATTGAAATAATATTCTTATAATATTATTTCAATCAATAATTATTTTTTGAGTAAATACTTTTTTTTGCAATCTAACAAAAAAATACAGTCTTCACTTTAGTCCCTTACAAAAATAAATTAATCAGTTAGTCCTAACAAATTCAAAGTGGACCTATTTAGTTGAATTCGTTGTCCCTCACAAATTTAAAAAAGACCCATATTAGTCCCTCTCAAAGGACTAAAATGGATCCACTTTGAATTTATTAGAGACTAACTGACTAATTTATTTTTGTAAGGGACTAAAGTGAATACCGTATTTTTTGTTAGCGACCAAAAAGTATTCACTCTTAATTTTATAAATCAAATTCATTACTTAATCAAACATTATTTTTTTTTTCAATCAAATTCATTATTTGTTACTAACAATGTCGTATCCAATTATATAAAAAGCCACCATTCTCTTTCACTTTCAGTATAATTCACTCACTTTCTCACTCCATAGCGTTTTTGGTTCTTCTTCTTCAATCTTCAATCTTCATTCTTCAGTCTCCGTTGTTTCTTCTCAGTGGTAATTACCTATGCAAGACCCTTCTAGAACCGCCACCGGCTACCCAGCCCCACTCTTCCACCACCAAAACGGCGGCCAACCGCCGCCGCCACCACCCACCGCGTATCCCTACGCCGCTCCCCAATACTACAACACCAATCAACCCTCCTACGCCTCACGCTCTTTCTTCCGCGCGTTCTTCGCCACCATGATATGCCTCGCCGTTATCTTCGGCGTTATCCTCATCATAACCTGGCTCGTCCTTCGCCCCTCCCTTCCAAACTTCACACTCAACTCCCTCTCCCTCACCAACTTCTCCACCACCACCCAATCACTCTCCGCCACGTGGCACATCGCTTTCCTCGTCCGTAACGGCAACAAGAAGATGACCGTTACCTACAACGCCCTCCGTTCCTCCGTTTTCTACCGCTCCGATTACATCGCCGAGTCGCAGCTCGCGCCCTTCAAGCAGGACACGAAGTCGCAGACCACTCTCAACGCGACTCTCTCCGCCGCCAACGCTTACGTTGACCCGCGCGTCGTCGATGAGCTTAACGGTGAAAGGGCGCGTGGTTCCGTTCTCTTCGATGTGCAGGTTTTGGCTTCAACTTCGTTTCGCTCTGGTTCCTGGAGGTTCAGGACGCGTGTGCTTAAGGTTCTGTGCCGGAAAGTCCCCGTTGGCATTTCGATGAACGCAACTTCCGGCGAATTGGTGGGTGGAGCCAGGGAATGCCAGGTGTGGACTTGAATTTTGCTATCCGGTTTCCGGTTTCTGAAACCCTAGGTTTGAAAAAGGGGGGGAAATTGGATTTTTCTATTTACTGATTGATGTTTTTAACAATTTTATAGCTATGCGTTTTGCTTTAGGTTTGAATTGAATATTGTTGGTTAGTCTATCTCTTGTACATAATTCTCGCCTGTTATAATATTTGCTTTTCTTTCTCCCTGACTTGAAGTCAATTGAAATGTGAAAATATTTGTCTGTGGAATGGAGACAAAGAGAGCAAGCAAATAATAATATTTATTTGGATGATCCAGATTGAATATGACTGGTCTATTCTGCTGAGTGTAGCAACTAGCTACTAACAACTAACCAATGTTGTTGTTTATGGTTTGTCTCTTGATGGGGTTTATTCAGATTATGATAAATCATTCATTGGCTTGTTTCTCAATTCCAATATTATGAAGATACTGATTCCAAGAAAATTATTGTGTGCCTTGCTTCTTGTGTGTTACGCTGTCACCATAAATTGTCTTTGTATAAATCCTTAATTGTATGTTTTTATTAGTTTATATCCAACCATGATAAAATAGGCTCCTCTATTTGAACAAATTGTCTTTGGAACCTGTTCACAATGAGCTTCACATTTTACTGATCCCGGAGCAGTTGAACTTTGTATATGTTGTTCAATTGAAAGAATAAATGTCTTCTATTATTCTTTGAATTAATGGCTATTTCGGATCTTGGCCATTTTGAGTTGAGTTGAATTGAAGTGTTTATTGCTAAAGAAAACTAAAACAGCCTACCTGTCAGACCATGTAACCAGCAAAAGAAACTTGTCCACTTTTACTCTATTTCTGGTTCTGGCTGTTCCTTGATATTCTTTTAAAGATGAAGGTTGATGAAATCATGACAAATGCAGTTTATCGTAGTAATTTGTTCTGAAAGAAACAAAATTTCAGTTTCCTACTTCTTTTTTCTTTTTCTGTCACACTTTGATATTGTGAGCATGTTATAATATTTATCATTATAGAAATAATCTAAAATTGTGGTATTTCCCCTTTTATACATTAGAGAAGAATATATTGGGTTACAAGAGGTCTTTTTTCTTGAGTGTTTCCGTGTATCCAAATTGAAGGCCTTCTGCTGATTGAGTTCTTTTTTAAGAAACTTTAAGAGTCTAAACATGGCATATTTGTTGTTGCCCTTCCCTCTGCAATTTTATTAATAAATTAACCTAAAAGAAAAAAGGATCATATTTCTAAAAGATTTCTTGCGAAGCGTTGATGATGATGATAGTTGTTCCAACTCCTAAGTTTCAGGCTAATTAGCAATTTTCTGAACTCTAAGAAGGTGCTTGAATTGGCATGGGATGTAGGACCTGGGTTGTCCTTTCACTCTGCTAGATGCTACCGGTGCCCATGGGGGGTAAATTGAGTCTGTTTAGGATCTGTGTTGGGTTTGGTCCGTTTGGTTAGTCCTATAGGATGGATTCATTAACCTATTAAAGTTGACAGTTTTCCTATGGTGTGTCTGTCACTTTTGTCTGTTTACTTTTATTGGTTAAGTAACAATTTGGGGCTTGCTATTAATTTAGAGATTGGGAGGAGTCATGATTGTCGTGAAATCTGAAATGCTGTAATGGAATTTGACAATGGCAGCAATAGGTCAGTTTTTAAGGATGAGTGTTGGAGAGTTGGGTATTTGTGTATGTATCAGTTGTCTGCTGCATAGCTATCGGCTTTAGAATATAAACTAGCATGTAATCTTTGTAAAAATGCTTGTCTGATTTTAACTTTCTTGGAGGAATTAGGCATTGCGGAGTCTTTTAACATTTGACGTGGATCATTGAAGCAGGCATTTAAATGAAAATGGAAATCTTCATGCAACTTTTCTTGTTTATTTCTATTTATACATAAATATTGATTACCTCGTAAGACACTTGATTACTAATTTGATAATTTATGAAGATAAATGCATAGTTGATGTAGCATAAAAGCTGTAGGATTAATCTGTAGCCTTCTGGAGATAAAGTACTGTGCTACTATTATTATAGGATGAACAATTGCCAGCCTGAACCGCAGCCCTTATGACTATAATTGACTCCCTTTGTTCTGCATCAGTAGGTGGCTTTTGCTTTCAATTTTCAAAATTAAAGGTTCAGCGTAGTTCGCCTAATAGGTGGTTTAGCAAAGCTCTCATGCATACAGTAATCGAATGCCTTGAAGACTTGCATTTCTTGGTAGTGCTTGGCGCCCCCTTACTGTTTTTTTGTTGGGAGAGGGAAGTGAGTGCGTACGGCAAATTCTACTATGAAAGCTGGATTTTTTATTTTTTGGGGGGAACAGGTTGTGATTGGGTGTGTTGCTAGCCAGTCCGGGATACCAGCTCATGAAGAGCACACTACTGTGAACTGATGGGTTGTTAACTAATGCCGAAAGCACATAGAAAATGGGCTAAACAGAAAGTTAGGATACGATAAAAGAGTAATCTTTTGATTCTCAATTATAATTATCAAAATAATAAAATTTAACTGCTACAATAAGGGTTATAAGCACTTTTTTATAGACTAATTATAAATTAATCCAAAATTCAAATCTAAAATCCTAAAATAAGGAAAATTCCTAAAAATAAATAAATAATTACAATCAAATCATTCAAAACACATCCCAAATTTTAAATCTCAAATCATATCAAATCTGTTGTTTTTCTTTTCTTGCCAAAAAAATTAGAATCTGATGGGCCTTCAATAAAGTAACCAAGCCCATTAATTAGGAATTAGTATATATAGAGATGTTTAGGGTGGGGTTTCTTTATACATGAAATTAAGCAAATGGTGAATGGGGTTTTGGAAAAGGATCTCTAGGGATCTCTTGAGGCCTAGGTGTTTGGCTTTGAGGGTGAGTTGAGAACCTTGGTTTATTTTTTTGCATTGCATTTTACTGTTATTTCCTTATCATTCCTTTGTTATGTTTACTGGTCATTGTCTCTGTAATGTCTAGTACTGTTGATATCAATATATTTGGAGGTTTTGTTTACATTTACTGTTGGCAAATTCTGTTTAGAAGATCCATTATTATAGGTTCATCAGAATCATATTTGCTGCTTCCTTTGGACTTGGATTTGATCGCAATATGTTATAGTTCAAATTATTGACTCTTTTAACAATGGGCCATACTTATTGGGCCATAATTTTGGTTGACTCTGGGCTTCTTGAATCAATGGTTGAGCTATGTGCCATGGGTCAACTGTAAGTGCATCATTCTCTCCTACTAGGAAAATATTCGTCCTCGAATCTTATTCATCTTCACTTATATCAATCTCTTTAGGTAAAAATTCAATGGAGAATTCTTTCTCTATTAGATCTTCAACATCAGATTCTCCATCAGATTTATCACCGATTAGATTATCATTATAAAATGAATTTTCATCATAAGATGAATAATTATCATAAATGAGATAATCATCATAAACTGTGTTGTGATCATAGATATCAAAGTTAGGAATGTTGATTTGCATCTCAATATCTTGAAAAATGGACTGAATTCGAGATCGTATTTCCTAATTCTGTCCTTGGTTTAGAATCTCAAAGTGATTGACGTCCTCCTCTTCGTCGTCAGATGCATTCTCTAATTCTATTCCTTCTTCGGATTGAATGCCCAATATTGTCCACGCAAGTCGTCGTTCCAAATGTTCGATTTTCATGCTTTGCGTCTCCACAAGTTGTTACTTCAAAATTTGGATTTTCTCGGTACGGGCCCTCGCGAGTTGTCTATACAAATCTTGAATTCTCTTGCTCTGCGCCTGCACAAGTAGTCGCTCCAAAAATTGGATTTTCATACTCTGTGCCTCCACAAGTTGTCGCTTCAAATCCTGGATCCGCCTTCCGAGCTCTTTTTTTATATCATGCGGGTCTATTTGACGCGGTTGTATGTCTTCTTTAGGAATGAATTCACGTCCCTTGCCTTCACGACTCCACCATTGACGACCTCTATGATTCTGTTCAGTCATTGGTTGAAGGAAACCTAGTGCTCTGATACCAAATGATGTCGAAAGCACATAGAAAAGTGGTTAAACAGAAAGTTAGGATTTCATGAAAGAGTAATCCTCCAATTCTTAATTTCTATTATCAAAATTATAAAATTCAACTCCCACAATAAGGGTCATAAGCATGGTAGTTAAAATCGGGATTCTACCTAAAATCGGAAGAAGGATAAAAAATCGTAAAACGTAAAATTCTAATGTAAAAAAAAATCGTAAACACGTAAGAGCGTTTGGAATTTTGATAAAATCGTTTTGATTAAAAAAAATCATATAAGCGTAAAAGCGTAGATTTAAATCGAAATTTTAACTACCATGGTCATAAGTACCCTTTTATAGACTAATTACAAATTGGTCCAAAATTCAAAATCTAAAATCCTAAAGATAAGAAAAATTCCTAAAAATAAATATGATGATAATTATCTTTTAAAAATAAATAAATAATTACAATTAAATCATTCAAAACACGTCCCAAATTTTCAAATCATGTCAAATGTGTTGTTTTTCTTTTCTTGTCAAACAAATCAGAATCATATCTACTGCTTCCTTTAGACTTGGATTTGATCGTTATATGTTATATTTCAAATTACTATTTCTTGTGACAATTGGGCTATACTTATTGGGTCACAATTCTGGTTGACTTCGGGTTTTTTAAATCAATGGTTGAGACAGGTGAAATGAGACAACGGTAGGTGCATCATTAACTCTTTCGGTCATTATCTATATAATGAAAAATGATGAAATCCGTTTCCTGGAGCTGAAAGAAAAACGTCTGCGTTTAATTGTTTTTTTCTTTTTATTTTGAAAATACGTTGTAAAGGCAGAGAAGAATCTTGCCAATTATGCTTTATCATTTCTGTTAAAGAATGTAAGTGACAAGCTTTTTAACGAAATAAACCCTGGCCTCCCTGTTCTCTATTGGCATCTTGGGAATTGATCTTTGGTTGGGCAGCAAATTGTTCTATCCATCCATAAGAGAGAAAAAGCTTTCGAATTTCTACATTTGTTAGATTTTTTATTCGTTTCTTCTTGTGTGCTGAAATACTTTTAGTCCCAGTTTCTTTTGTTGCACTATAAGCGAACCTTTGTCTTGGGTGGGTAAGAAACTAAGAAAAAAGAAGGATGAGATTTGATCTTTTGTCTTGGGGTGGGTAAGATCTATAAGAAGGATGGAGGATGGAACTTCATCCTTCTGCGTGTAAGCAGCTCGATCAATCCTGGGGAAAAAAAGCATATGATGATAGCAAATGCTGAAGAGGAATGAAGACAGGTACGGGACAAGCAAATAGAGAACGAAAGTCACCCGGTTTTGATTTTGTTTGGGCTGCATTTGACAAGTTGTCATATGCTATTAATGCAAATGGCATTGTTTGTCCTAGGTTCCTAGTTTACGTTTATGAATCCCATGATGAAATAGCTAGTTTTGTTATGATCTTCCTAAGCTGCTGGTTATTGATTGAAACCGATCCCCTACCTTCTCTTTGTCGTTTGCTTTACCTCTCCATTTGATTTTCTTCCATTGGAATCTTTCATCAATGAAGTGATATTATGTGACTGCTTTCGCTTTATTCCTATATCGCTAGTGCATCTCTTGACTCATTTTCTGAAAAGAGAATGTGGTGTCAACTTGATTTATTGGATATACAAAACGGAGGTTCAGAGAATATTCTACTGGCACTTTTCCACATTCTTAAAATTCCTTCAATTGAAGATAAAATGAAAATGGAAGACCTCTAACCTCTTGGATGCACATCTCAGGAATAAAAAACCCCACTTGATGTAAAGGCTTATCCTGACCTCGTATGTGCCAAAAATGCCTCATGATACTTTTCAAGATGCTTCTTTTACCTAATACGACGTAATAGAGATAGCCTTTAAGTTTATTTCGTGTATATGCAGTGGCATATACGGTGGAAGACCAAGATCTAACTAGCTAGCCTGTATAATAGTTTTTTTTTTTTTTTTGAAGATTGCAATAAAATCGAAAATACAATGCCAGTTCACATACAAATCACTGTTACGGTTCTTAATTAGTTTCTGGACGTCGGTCCTTTGAACGTTTTTTCTTATGGGTTCAAATTGGGCTTAGTACAGTTGACCATAAACAAATAAATCGAGCTTAGTATTTTAAACTTCTCAAAGTCTTCGTCAACCTTCCTGTAAAGTACCCGCAAGGAAAGGAGAGCTTTCATTGTGATTTTGACTTTTCCAAGAAAAAATTAAGTATAGTCAGGTTGACGACCAAAATATCATCGAAGTATAGCGATTGAGAAAATTAACGAGTCATGCGGAAAGTGACCAGAAAGTGACCATGCATTAGGAGGACATGAATTGCGTACATAAATTCCTAAAGGCATACATGTCTACCTTGAAAGATAAGGCAAATCTCCAACCACAGCCACATAGTCATATTAATATGATTAAATTTATAGACCCAAATTTTTTTATAATAAAGCGCGAAAATAAAACTTCAAAATTTTAAATATTATTAAGATTAATAAGAAATACTAGTTATTATAAATATTTATGAGGGAGGGGTTAATTGTCAGTACTAATAACCTATTATTAAAAAAATATTATTTTATACATAAAATAATAATAATAATAATAATTAAAATTTAAGGAGGGGCAGCAGCCAATGTTAACCCTTCCCTCGGTCAACCCCAGAACCTAAGGACAATCATATGGCTTCCAAGATTCCATGAGTTCGTTTCTCAGTCTACATATTTGATAAACCTTTAGTTTATGATGTTTTAAAGGCTAATATCACATGAATTACATAGTCAAAAGCATAAAAACTTGAGATTTTATGATGAAAAAGCATGAAAGTTGAATTAGGAACTAACATAACTGATTCTTACTTGTTTTGAAGGAAAATTGATGTGAATTGGAGCAAGAATGAAGTTAAAAGACATGGAGTACAAGATAGAATATCAAGGAAGTCCATATCCAGAAGAAAATTCAAGACTGGAAGAGGCGCTTTAGCACCCTCCAACGGGCTAAAGCGCACAAAATGTACACAAATAACCAAACCTTCTGGAAGAGCGTTCTTTAGAGCGCTAACACACGTTATCATGAAGAATTTCCTTTCGAAGGCACTTAAGTGCGCTCATGCAATTTTCACAACATATTTCAGCGCGCTATCTAGCACTTTAGCTCCCTGTTGCGGTCCAACTTAGGCACAATGTTGAAATTAACTTAGGGAACAGATCCTACACCTATTTAAAGGGAAATTCAAAATCAATTGAACACTTTTTGATGATTTTGAAGAGCTTAATCCTGTTTTGGTCATAGAAGCGCGTCCTTCATGCTTTGGAGTAATGGAGGCGGGTGAAATTCAAGAATATGTTGGGTACTTTGAAGATTCACAATGCCATCTCACCAATGGAGTTTGGGGAAGCTTTATCGTGTTCTTGTGTTTTTGAATTCGCTATTCTAGGTTAGGTTTCTTTGGAGTTAGGGGTAAATGGAACCCAATTAAACATTTGCGATTATGAATTGAAATGTAATGTAATTTCCCTTCTTTTATTGCATGAATTAATCCACTCTTAATGTTTTCTATGAGTTTGATCTTCTAGACTGATTTAGGGTGAATGTATGACAACATAAATGTTGGTACATGATCCATACATGATGAATTTATCTTAATCCTTATGATTCTAGGAATAGACATAGGGTAATTTTGCAATATTGTGATTCTTGGTCTTAATGCGTATTATCTTGAGGAATAATCGGGGAACTATGATTCTTTAAAGATCATATATAATTAGGGTGTCAAGGGATTGAATCTTAATTAATTTAGAGAATCGATTGGCAATATTTTAAAGGCAATTACTTAAGGGTTTAATTCATAACATAAAAGAAAAATTGGGGGAAATCGAAACCTAACTACGTCTTTATTGATTGTCAAAACAACTTATAATTAAATTCTTGCTTTTTAATTCTGTTATTTATTATTGTTTGGTTTTAAATTTCAATTCAAACCTTCTTGTTATCGATTGTCCAAATAAATCAAAAATATTGATTGAAATTTTAATTCTCGTGGGAACGATCTCTTACTCATACACTTTATTACTTGTACGATCGATGTATTTGTCAAAGTTGGAACACTCTTTCTAATCAAATATTAGGCCCATTTAAATGAGCTTCTAAATAAATGACTTTTTATGCCTTGATTATTTTTTAAGTACATTTTGCAAAAGTTAAAACTATATAGATTTTTTAAAAAAAATTGGTTTTTGAAAAAAATATTTAACTTTTGACTTCTGTATTTTTTAAAAGTTAAATTTTTTAACTTAAAATAGATTTTTGGCATTTTTTGTGACTTATGTTTTTTTTTAAAACAGATATCCAAACGAAATTTGTAATGAGAACTATTTTTTTCTTCTTCTGAAAAAAAGCAGTTTTTAAAAGAAAAAAAAAGCTTTTTAGGTAAGAACCTAATGAGATTAGTATTACAATTTTTACTACATCCAACCTATAAGTAAAACAGTTTCCCACAAAAAAAAAAAAAAAAACAGTGTGGGGCTTGACGCTTTCATTCATCATTTATTGAATAAAGGCCCCTCACTGAAGGCTACAATCGCTAGCATCCATGGAAAACGATGCACTTGTCCATTTGTATAATTTCTATGGGTGCCCTTCCAAGCAGCGGTAACGTCGGAGTGGACTTGAATGTAACAGAACATTTCATGGAACATACATTGATTTGATTCTGCCTTAATCATTGGTTATTTTCTTTCCAATGTGCATGCATATATAATAGATAGCGAAAGTAAAAGATAAAAAATGCTATCAATATTAACCAATGTGAATTTGATAACACTTCACTGTTGTGATCACAGTAAGTATATCGATCGTTTCAAGTAATAAAATATGAGTAGAGTATCGTCTCATGGGGATTAATGCACCAAGTACTATTCTCACTATTTCCTTTAATTTGGACAAATCAATTTGATGTAGAAAATAATTTTTTTTAAGGCAATTGTAATAAAATTAAAAAAACATGCAAGAACACAGAATTTAAAATTGATTTTTAAGTATCAAAGATGGAAACTGTAGCTAAGAATTATTTCATCTTTGATCCTCCTTTAAACAGTTTAAATTAATTTCAATAATAATGTATCTCACTTATCTCAAACAATTCATCTTCTAAAAATAATTAGTTAAATCTTAATGTCTTAGTGATTTTAACCCTTTAACCCAATTAAAACTCTAATGTCTTAGTGCTCTCTTTTAGATTAAGTATTAAGCGTGATGAATTATTAAGTTTGCAATCCAAGCAAGCCTATGTCTAGATCATGTAAGAATTGATATTTTACCCCTGTCAGGATTAGAATCTCAATATGTCTATTGTGAACTCTAACCCTCAACTCCCTATAAGAGTGATCAATTCATACAAGGATATAGAAATTCGTGCAAGGTAAAACACAAATAATTGAAATAATTTATTAAAGAAACAAATTTAAACCACAAATAGGATTCACGTCGGATCCATAATCCTAACTACAAAAGAAAACTAACCAGACATAGTTGACTTAAACAAAACAAAGAAATAATAAAAAGAAATAGAAGAAGTCATGAAGAAAAAGAAAAAGAATCAATGTTGCTCAATCTCCTTTAAGCTTCTCTCTCTGAAAATCTTCATCTCTCTCTCTCTTGTCTCTCTTTGTTGTAGAATGTGTCAGCCTCCTTTGTGTTTCCAAGAGTTATTTTTTTTACAGAAAAATATTTTTACAGTTAAGCCAGATAAGTTATCTGCATTTACTTCCAAAACGACATCGTTTTGGGATTGAAAGATTAGAAAATTATAATTATAAGGGCTATAATAATCCTGAAATAAATTAAATTACAAAAACACCATGATTTCCGCCCCAAAACGACGTCGTATTGGACTTACTGCAGATAACGTATATGCAGTAACTGCAAAAAAAGTGAACCCTTTTTTTATAGTAATGAAACCATACCTTTTAATTTTTCGTAATATCTTCGATGGAATCTTCACTAGAATTTCTAATTATATCTTTAATCCATTAATCCTTCAAATCTTTCCTTTTATATTTAAAGGAAAACTTTCCTTAAAAATATTCAAGGGAAGATTCAATAAGATCTTCAATGAATTATATGATTCAGAAATTCAAAGCAAATCCACTTGAGCTCTCTAATTTATCTCTTTATTGAGCTGAAAATTACTGCAAAATAAAAAATTTATGAGTATATTACTGAGAAAAATATAATACTTTAATTATGATTCTCATAATTTGTAATTACTTTTAAATCAATTTCATACTTATATTAATCCTTAATATATAATAAATTGGAGACTTATGAATACCTTACCCATACAATAAGGTCAGCAATTGGGTGGTTGTGCACAAAATTAGACTTTTCATTTGCGATTTTATACTTCAATTAAGAAGAATCTCCATATGAAAAATTGTTGTGACTATGATACCCTACCGCCTCTGCCCTGGATCCAGTGCGTGCCTTTTTACAAATTCTTCGTGGGTAGTGTGTTGGTTTTCTTCCCTAGTATGGAAGTTTCTTCACCTTTAACATGTTAATTGAGGGATTTAGTCATATATATGAAAAAATAAAAAAAATACTTTCTTATTCTAAAGTGGGGGAAGCTAACTTCAACAAAAAAATCATAATAAAACCATATATCGCTTGTTAACAAAAGAACTTCAAATTCAAACTCAAATCATATTATAGATATACACTGTATAGTCTAACTGTCTAAGCCTTTGAGTTGCTTTTTATATATGATTAATATATCTCACCTCACAAGTCATAATTAAACATTAAAATCATGGTTAGATTTTTGTATAATTAGCTAAAATGGCAAATTCTATGTGCATATATCCAACCATATTCCTTTGGTTGTGCTTTGTTTTTCTTTGGTATTAATTATGATGATCTTTTCCCTGATTTGATTTGACATATAACTTTTAACTTTTATTGATTTGTTTAATTCTGCATGAATTCACTTTCCTGATTGAAGTAATGATTTCTTTACAAATTAGCATATGTGTGAGGCATTAGGTATAACTAGTTGGGATACGATTGTATTGTACATTTTTAAATTTAATATTTATGAAAATAAGTTTTTTATTTAAGAAATGAAAATTTAGTTTATATTTCAATTAGTAATTTAAAAAATTATTTGGCATTAGGTCGAGCAAAGTCCTTAAGGCTATGGTAGGTGCTAAATGTAGGAGTATCTCACAATTGGTATTTCCTATGCTGAACTATCGAGGAGTTATTAGATGGACCCTCCACTGCCATGACCTTTGTAAAATCTTTGGTTTGGGGGATGCATTTACCTTGAAGTTTAGGTTACAGTAACATCTCCTCCCCAACTTATTTTACTTAATCAAACTTCTAAACTCCTAACATTACCAAATTATACATATGGGGATTTTAATAATGTAAAGCCAAATTTAAAATGTTCTAACAAACATCACCAAGTTGATTTTAATCTAATCATATCGGATTGAATTTGATGGTAAGTAGGTTACCAATCATAACAGTATTTGAGGAGTTAGTCACTAAAATAATATGTGGTAAAGGGTTAATTTTTTTTTTAATACTACAGATTTGAATATTAAATTATAACAGAGGGCTTTTTTTTATTATTATAACAGAGACTTGAATGTTTATTATAGAAGGAAGAGAGACTTGGAGTTGGAGAGTCAACATAAATATTAAATTTTATTAAATTGACCGCTTCCCGTGTACTACAAGCTTAGGCACATATATGACAAGAAGAGTAAACCCAAGTCTTTGTTTTTTTTTTTGGATAACAACCCAAGTCTTTGTTGAAATTAAGTTATTATTATCTTTTATTTTTTATTTCATAACTCTAATTATTCTTTTGCGGCAAATCAAGTATTCTGGATATCTTAAAATTCAGTGGGAAAAGGAGCGCTCATATCAAGAAGCATAAAAATTGTCGAGCTCTAACCCAATTAACAAGTTTTTTCCGAATTCGAACCCTATTCTTTTGACACTTCATCCGTTCTGGGTATTAGGAATAAAGATAGAAACACAAGCTGTTTACATGAAAAAAACCCTCACACAGTCACACAAAGTTCATTTGACTTGGGTGTACCATACACAAGTCGTTTATGCTTAGAGGAGGATCTACTTAGTACTAATTAAGTTTATCATTTCTTATCACCAAATTTTAGTTGTTACTTTTTGTTAATACGTCGATTCTAAATTTTTTAGAATTAATAATTAATTAATAAGTATCATTTAATAAATTATAACCCATAAATTAACAAAATTCAACAATTAAAATTTGATGGTAAGAAATGATAAACTTAATTGATGGTAAATATATAGTGCCTGCTTATATTCAAAACTTATATAATTTTAATTATTTATGAATTAAATATGGCCAAAAAATCTAGTCACAGAAGATTGAACATATTAATAATTTTATATTATATTTATATAAGAGAGATACTCGTGTTGTAATTTGAATTAAATCTTTTGTTATATCCTAGAGATCAGAGATATCTAATCAGAAATTAGTGGATTGATCTTGGATTTAGGGCTCTCTCATATATCTACGAAGAAAATATTTTTGAAATAAGCAGATTACTATACACAAAAATAACGGCGTAGCCAAAAAGGGTAGAGTACTGTATGCACAATAATAACTAATAATAAGAGATAAAGTGTTATATATGTATGTTTTACCTTATATTTATAAAGCTAATGGTGGGTAGTGAAATTATGGATCTTTAAAGATCTTTTTAACCCCCAAGGTAGCTCAGTTTGCAGCTGAGCTCCCAAGGGATTGCTTCGTACAGGGATTAAACCCTGCCTCAAGCAGTTTCTTGGAAAATCTTTGGGAGCCAGAGGATAAACTAAAAATCCTCGGCATGGTGCCCGCACCCACTGTTACAATGAGGGGCTAGCCCAAACGGGTTGTACCCCGAAGGCATGGTGCCCGGAGAAGGTTGAATGGGGATACCTCCTGGCAATGTACCAAAAAAAAAAAAAATCTTTTTAGGGGCGATAGTTGTTCCATTCACGTCGTATTAGGATTAGTATCAAATAAAGATTTCTTCCTTTAAAATATATGGTCCTCACGATAATTCGTTTTTTATTTATTTATTTATTTGTTTGCCACTGTATTTCCCTATATAATGCATACTTCATGTAAGAAATATTCTCCAAATCGGTGATTCCATTAGAAGTTAGAAGCAAAAGCAACACAACTTTGTACTTAGCCTTGGGTTAATTAGGCCATAGCAATTAGCATACATATATACCAAAAACAACTGTTGCAGTTGCAGCTATGTCTAAGCACAGATGCGGATATGAAGACGGGCGCCGCCGGCTTCTCCGCCGCATATTCGCCGGCATCCTAGCCTTCATCATCCTCGTACTCCTCGTCATCTTCATAATCTGGATCACCCTCAAACCCACCAAACCCCGTTTCGTCCTTCAAGACGCCACCGTTTTTGCCTTCAACATCTCCTCCGCCGGCGCCGCGCCTTACGCCACCGCTCCCAACCCCAACACCCTCACCGTCAGCATGCAAGTCACGCTCTCATCGTACAACCCAAACGAGCGAATCGGCATTTACTATCAGAATCTTGACGTCTACGTTTCCTACAGGGGCCAGCAGATCTCGCTGGCGGCGGAGCTGCCACCAACCTACCAGGGCCACGGTGACGTCGACGTTTGGTCGCCGTTACTGTACGGATCCGTCGTGCCGGTACCTCCGTTCATGTCTGATGCTCTACAACAGGACCAGACTTCAGGGGAAGTGTTGGTCAACGTCAAGGTCAACGGGAGAGTTAAATGGAAGGTGGGGACTTGGGTTTCTGGGACGTACCACATCGATGTTAACTGTCCAGCGTATATCGTTCTCGCCGTAGACCGGAATAATAGCATCGGAGGTTCGGTTCCGGGTTCGGGTCCGGCGGTGAAGTTTCCGGTTCAACACAGTTGCATTGTCGATGTTTAGTTATTAATATAGGAAAAAATTATACTTTCCACTGTTCTAGACTTATTATTTTTATTATTTGATTATAGTCGGATGAATTTGAAATCATATAAAGAAAAAAAAAAATTAGATGTTATTGATTTCAAATTAATCTAACTATAACCAAACAGTTAATAAAAATAATAAGTATAAAATAATGGTAAGTATAATTATCATATTTAATATTTAAAAAAAAAGTAGTTTGCTTTGATTGTTAGTTGTTAATCGCCCTCCTGAATGAAGTTTTTGTCTTTTTCTTTAAAATATCTTTTTGTAGATGTGAATTTGCGTAAGCGAATCGGTTATGAATTCTAATAAAGTGTCTCTTCAGATAATTTTTTATTTTGTTAAGTGTTCTTTTTAGTTCTTTAATCTTAACAATAAGGATTTGTAAATGGAAGAATCAAAATGTGTAACGTAAATTGACTCGAATTTGATGGAATTGGTATAGTTTGTCTTCCACGTAGTTGACCAAGTTTTCCTTGGGACTCTGTTCTTTTTTTGGTATATTGGGAGTTTGGGACCTTGTCCTGGGGAAGAACGCGTAATTGGACACCTTATTATTAGGATTTGAGGTAAATTTTAAAGGTACGCTACGCTCTCTCTTATTGTTATGTTGTCATTGTGCGTACACACCTCATTGGCTAATGTCATTATAGTATTCTGTGCACAATAATCTGCTTGACTCAAGGTATCTCCTTTATATATACCTTATAGAAGACACTAGATCCAAAATAAACATACAGCCTATTAGGTGGGACATCTCTGTTCAAAGACAAAACAGTTATTATATATGTTTATCCCAGTTATATTTTCGCCAAGGACAATTCTTTTTAGCGCAAGTTACATTTTACAAGACTACTTTTTCATGACAGCACAAACTAAAAAAATTTAATTGGGGTATGGGGCTTTTTATGGACCACATGGCATCAAAGATACCATAGAGCAGAGTTCAATGTTGAAAGAATTTAGAAATCATTCGTTGGGATTGACATAATTAAATGCATATCATTTTGAGTCAGGAGAAATATTCACGGTGGTTTAATCTTTTACCTGTAGCTTTACAAAAAGTGATTTTCTGTAGATTCTAAAAGGAAAGATGGATGAACTTGTTCCACCAACTTACACTTTAACCCTCCGATACATGGACACGCTTGTTTTTTGGAAATTTATGTGTCGGACACGTATTTGACACGGACACGCTCCGACACGCTCGAACACGCGTCCGACACGCGGTCAACATTTATGGACACGCGGTCAATTCTTCGACACGTTCCGACACGCGGTCAACATTTGAGGACACGCTCGGACACGTTTTTTTTATTTTTATTTTTTTTTATTTTTTTTTAAATCTTAATTTTATTTTGTTAACTAAATATAAAAGAAATAATTCATAAATTAATTTTTTTCTGTTATAAAATTTGACATTAAAAATTAACAAACTACGAAAAATTATTTATATTTATATTTATGTTATGAAATTTAAGTATTTAATTGATTATATGACTTATTATGGACTCTTATATGTATTAAATATAAATTATATTATATATATTAAAATTTTTATTTAATATCAAAACGTGTCCAAATATGACATTTTTTAGAATTAACGTGTCAGCGTATCGTATCGTGTCATGTCTCATGTCCAATGTCCGTGCATCATAGCTTTAACCTTATATGATATGTAGCATACCCATGTGGGACAGGTTAGTTAGGTCCTTGGTACGCGGTTGGAGAATTGGAGGTTGAAACTCTCATTCAATATTGGTCTATTTCTCGTTACCTGCTCTGCCTTTTTGCTTTGTCCTTCATTACTCTGTAGAAACTATTACCAACCTCTCTCTCTTTAATGACTCTAACTGTTAAATTGACTCTCTTTTTAATTTCTTTCATACTCAATATACTCGTCAACATAAAACCAATCAAATAAATAGATAAGCAAAATATTATTATCACGAAGTTCTAATTTATTTGATCGGTTTCACTATATTTATAAAGGAAAAAAAATATCTAATGTTACTTTAGATAATTTTGTCTAATATTTATCGAAACGACGTCATTTTGAGGTTGGAAAATTAAAAAAAATTAAAATTATAAAAACTATTATAATCTTAAAATAAATTAAAATTACAAATACACCGATGTCATTTTGATAAACATTAGACAAAATTATCTAAAATAACTTTATAAAAAAAGAACTCATTTATGAAAACCGAAAAGAAAAACACTCATTTTTTTTAGTGTTACACAATTTCAAGATATACTAGATAAGGCGATACGTATTATTTGCGGTTAAATTTATTTACAAACGTATTTTTGGCAATTGAAGTGAATAACATCGGTCTTCCAAAGTTCTGTATATATTATACTATATTTGCATTTAGATTTTGGGTTTGTTTTTTCTGTAGTTACTGTATATAAGTTATCTACAGTAAGTCCAATATGATATTGTTTTGGGACGAAAATCATGGTGTTTTTGTAATTTTAATTTATTTCAGGGTTATAATAGTCTTTATATTTATAATTTTTTAAGATTTCAATACCAAAACGATATCGTTTTGGAAATAAATGCAGATAACTTATCTGCAATAACTGCAGAAATATTTTTTCCTTAAATTTTATGTATTTGTATAGATGTAAATAATAAAACTCAAACGATGTTATTATTATGCATTGGATTTGCTTTTTTCGGTAATCACGCATTTAGACTGCTTACGTAATGCTAAGTTGATAAATTGAACTTGATTAAAATGCTGCAATAAATTAAAGAAGTATAGGGAGCAATAAAGTAAAGGGGATGGCTACACTCTTCTTTCTTGTTTTCATGTATTCACTTCTATTTTGTTTTGGTGTAACCATCAGATTCTTCTTCTATCTGGCCTCCATCTGTTTGTCACCACTGCTAAATCCAGAACAACAGTTGACGAGACTAGAAAACAAGTGGGCCCAAGAAAACAAAGCTTGGACATTAGATATGGTTACAAATTAAAGCCGTGAAAGTTGTCGTTCGACCTTTGCATTTTTGGGAAATGAAACAATTATTGGATTTGGAAAAGACCTGACGTATAAAACAAAAAATTAATAACACATCCTGGTTTAAGAAGTGTTCTGGCCGGACAACACAGACCGGCGAGTTGGGCCGGCTATCCAAGGCCCAATTCTAGAATATATTATGGTGAGTACATGGACTTTACCATGAGGAATATGTCTCAATCATGCACAACTCAAGATTGTACATACATGCTGATGAGATAATGTCTCACTATAAAGTTGAGGCATTGGCTAATGATTTTTAACTCTTTTTTTTTCTCTTTTATCGAAATATTGTTTATCCTTTATAAATTTCTCCTCTCCAATATAGAAAGCACTTGATATCACACTTTTTTATGAGCTGTTAATCTATCGAAATTTAGAGTCACTGTGGCCTTACACACATCCCTCACTCACAGTCCCATCTGCGACAACATTCACGGTGACTCCTCTTGTGCTTTGATCTAGGCTATTACACCTCTTTAGCATTGTTGTTAAAATGTATTGTCGACTCGATAAAAATGAAAGAGTCTACGTTTCTGACACAAAAAATGTGTTGAAAGTGTGGTAGAAACGAATTTTAAGTTGACTCGGTTGAAATGACGAGTCAACTCGATAAACTCAGTTTACTGAGCAAGTTTAATGAGTTGACTTAGTTTTAAAAAAATTAGCATTTAAAAGGTCTCTGTTTTCACCTTTTTTGTACCGATAACTATATTGAGTCTTTTGTGTATTATCTTGGCTTCTCCTCTCTGGCACTATCCTTTTTGGCTCTCTCCTCTCTAGCTCTCTCCATTCTTGACTCATCATCAGCTTCTCCTTTCTCTTCTCTTCACTCATCATCAGGTAAGGATTCTGACTTCCTTTTTGTTCCCTGATAGCCATAGAGGCCCAATAGATTCAGTTACAGATCCAATTATGTTATTCAGTTCTAACAAACTCTTAGTTATTCAGTTACAGATGTATAGCTGATCTTATCCAACCTTAATGTATATAAAGCAATTGCTTTACTCTAAGAGCATGTTTGGTGCATAGTATTGGATGAGGCATGATAATATAAGACCTGATTAAATACTATCTAGCGTTTGGTATGGTATTGTATAAGATAATATCCTCCAATATTTTAAAAATTAATATATTAAAAAAATTATTTTAATATATTAATATTGAAATGATATATTAGTTCTTGAGAATTGTACTTGTAAGCAATATTAATACATCAATCCCTTATCAGGCCTAATCTCATCTCATTAGGCCTGATTAAGTTATACATCATTTTGATGTATTAAGAGGTTCTGCTATATAAGCTTATACAATACGATGGTCACACCAAATAACTGAAAATGTCATAACGTATAGTATAAATTTATACTATCAAGCCTTATACATCACACCAAACAGGCCCTAAATGTATATACAGTTCATTATTCAGTATACATTTTTCTCTGAGCTTATTCATTTCACGTTTTCTCTTTTCATCTTTCATTTCTTGCATCATAGCCTTGATACCTTTCATGGTATCAGAGCTACATAGATCCATGGAGACTAATAATTCTGCGCAAAACTCTGTTCACACCTTTTCCAATCCTGTCTCTTTCAAGTTGAATGAAGATAATTTTCTGCTATGGAATGCAGAATGTGGATCATCTAACGCTTGCAATAGCAACAAACACGAGCAATATATTCGAATATATATTAAGTTCTTAGTCTTGGCTGCCTATAATCTTAACTTCTCATGGAAAATCTAATACATGGAACCGTGTAGTAAGGTTATTTTGCAACAGCAAACAATCAGAATATGATAAAAAGAACACAAATAATATCTGCTTAAAAAAAATTCGTTTTTTCTACAGTCAATGTAGATAATTTATCTACCGTGAGCCCAAAACGACGTCGTTTTGAGGCGAAAATCAAGATATTTTTGTAATTATAATTTCTTTCAAGATTATAATAGTCTTTTTTCATTATAAATTTTTAATTTTTCAACTCAAAACGACGTCGTTTTTTAAGCAAATGTAGATAACTTATCTACATTCACGATATAAACATTAAATTCTAAAAAAAAAACACTAATGAAGAGAAAAACAAGTAACTGCCTATTTGAAATACAATTTATTGTGGGATATGATTCTTTGATATCGGTGTTAAAAAAAGTTTAATATGTCATTTGAGAGTTATTGATCTTGTCTAGATTTA